ATTAAACGATAGGAGTTTTAAGCTTTGATGCAGAGTGTCTCAAATATTTCCTACCAGTTTCATTAAGGCTTTGACCGGGATGTTCTTTTGTTAAATCTTATGTGGTACCGCCTGATTCGACTTCTAATGGTTAAGTGAAGTGTTTTCTTCGCGGTACGGTCTGGATTCGTAAATATTATGAAGACGAGCTTCGGCTTCAAAGGGTTAACCAGCTGATTTTCGTAATGGTGAGGTGTAGTGTTTTCTTCGCGGTACGGACTGAATTCATAAATAATATTCAGACGATCTTCGGCTTCAAAGGGTTAATAAGATATGAGATGTTACAATGACATGAATAACAAATTCAAAATGATGTGGTAGAGAGTGGCGACATCTTCCTTCATCGTTCTGTTTCAGTGTTCGCCTGCAGGCTAAGGTGTTAGGCTACAGGCTGTAGGCTGAGGTTTGATGAACATAAGTGGACATTTTATTAGACAGATATTATAATCGGGTAATTCCTAACATGTCAGAATCTGAGCTAACCTGTTAGAAGCATCTGTTAATAATTGCTTTATTCAAATATGTAACAAGTGTTTCCACGCAAAGAGAAAAATGTGAAGTCTTTAAAACAGGAATTATACATAACGAAAATTATGTATGTACAGTATATACAAAGTTAAATATAAATTATTAGACAGAAAATATATTGCAATATAAAAGCGTGTTAACACAATTTTTCACGTACAATAATGACAAAGTAAGCAAGTATTTTTAAATCCATACTGAAATTAATCAACTACTTTACAAAAATAAACATATTACATATTTAGCTAGCATATGTCTTTATTCTTCGCACACTTTAAGCTAGCATTCCTTTGTTTTTAAACAAGTATAATATGTAGCTTATTCGATACGAGCGAATGTTAATGAATAAATATTTCAAAAGAAAGAACACTATATTATGTTGCACTCGTAAAGGAAGTGGACGCTTTGTAATAGACATTTCTTAAATATAGTAATAGTTAATTATATATCACTTGAACTCTTTAATTATAATGATATCTGCACATCTGGTCATGTACACTGTAAATCGTTTTAAAATATTGATGAAATTTATATGTAGAAAGTTGGAGTCGTACGTAGATGTAAGAGATGAAGTATAAACCCAAAAAGAATCATGATCCTCCACCCAAACTTAAACGAAGTTTCTGTATTTGTTGGGTGTACGACGGTTTTCTGTAAACTTCAGGTCGTTTTGTTATGTTGGCCGTCCGACTGCAGTTCTCGCTAGAGTGAACTGTGCGTAAAAAACGTTAATGGGACTACATGAATAATCGCTTAAATATCAGCACAAGGTGTCTCATCCTGTGGGAGAAACAGGGTGTTGGGGAAAATATTTGGACCTAAGGCAGAGAGAGAGAGAGAGAGAGAGAGAGAGGACGAATACAATTCCATAATGAGAAACTTGATAGTTTCAAATCTATACCAAATGTGATAAATTTGAGTAGAATATATGATCGGGGAATGTTACACGCATTGTAAATTGTAGCCGAAACTTTAAATGAAAGAGACTGTTTGATTGACGTGTAAATGGGTGGGGTGGAAAGCTGGCGTTGAATTTTTTAAGTAACGTAATGTGGACTGGACTTTCGGATTTTGTAAAATGTTGGAAATTACTAACTGAACGACTGTCAGTTTCCCAGTAAGGAATTTTTATGTAAGTCTCCTTGTTCTTCCGTAGACTGGAGTTTACTTCCAGTCACAACTTTTGTCACATTAGACCAATATCAGGATCGGTATATATTTTTAAAATCTGTAGAAATTAACTACGTATTTGTTACAAATGTTTTAGGCGTAGTTCGAAGTGTTTGTCTTATTTCGAAAATTTATGAAACACTTCATCGTGGTACAAATTGGTATTTTACACAACATTCCAGCCCCTGTTTCTCTTCCACTACTAACCATAATTACGACATCTGCGTTGTCATGTTATTTGAACCGTTAATTTAGTCATATTTGTGAACGTTAACCGTTCTCTCATATTTTCAAAGTACGTGGTGTAAAGAGATGCGTTATCATAAAATGATCGATATTTACAATTCAACGTAGACGTTTCCTCTCAAGCAAAGCTGTGCAATTTCTTCTAAATTGTAATTATATTTCCACAGAAACAGCTTGTGTCTCTTTGTCGGAGAATATTTTCAACACGTAACGGAGAGTTTGTGCCATGGGCAAAACTCTCATCTCATAACAATGAGGCTAAGTATGTTTGAGGTCACATGACTTCATCGCCTCTGGAATGCCTTAACGCCATTTCTCCTCTTACCTTCTCCTTCAGAGTTCATTGTATTCACAAATCTGACGTGTTTTGTGAACCAAAAATAAAGAAAAAATCGTGTACTGAACACATGAGTCTGTGGCTCGTTTGTTAACTGCTTCCGCTTCAAATACGTCTGTTGTGAAATTTATACAAAAAAAGTCTACGAATTTAGACTTCACATTAGCATTCATCATTATCATCAGTAAAACAAATGACTTGTTACTCATATGCTACATGCGTTTCGTAAACACAGATAATGTTTCTGCGCACAAGGAAGACTCAGAGTCGAGCACGACGAAAAGTGTTAATTTATTAGCTGCATGTGAGCAGAATCATTCTTGAGATGCTGATAGTCACTTAGCTAGTCATGAAATTTCCTTACCCTTATGTAACCGAATACTTATTACCGCGTTCAGAAAATTCCTCTAGCTTGCATCACTGTGCTCCATTTGTATCACATTAAATGTTCAGTCCACTTTCAATTTAAATAATCGTGCTACTAATAAATTATCGGTGATTGAATTTGGGCGGGACGTCACACGCATGAGGCACAACAGAAATGCATACACAATTCTGGTTAGAAAGGCTGAAGGAAAGAGTCCACTTCAGAAATCTAGACATAGATGTGAGAATAATATTAAAATATATCTTAAAATAGGCCGTGATGGCGTGAGGTGGGTTCAGCTGGCAAGGTCACGCGTATACAAGTCTAGATCATTTTGGGTGCGGGCTGATACTGAGATCATAGCATAAATCAAGTTCATTCCCATGATTCGCGGACAGTGCTTGGTATTTTGCTACGAACTTACAATTTAGACCTAAGAAACCAAAACTTAATACGGTGGAATGTAACTCTTTGTTTTCCTCTCGAGTGAGATATTTTATCGTGGTGGATTTCCCATTGTTCTCATCTCAACCCGATGCCCTCGACCGGCATGAGAAACGTGTACACAAATGCGAGATCTGCCTGCGAAGATTTCAACTTGGATTCATCTGGCTGTGGCGGGTTCTCGTGAAGAAGATATCAAATCACGGGTCCAAAGAAAGCAGAGAGATTTCACGACTAGCTAACCGACTGTCGTTAAAAAGCGAAGAGCCTTATCGTGCTGAATGTTGCTGTTACCAAGACGTATTGGGGACGGTGACGAGAATAATCGTGACATTTACCAACATCGGCTGCGAGCAAAACTCTCAGTTATTCACGCAATAACAGTCCCACCCTGTGCCTTTGTGTCGGCTTTTCCTTACTCGCCGTGTTCTGCCGTATGTAGCAAGTGGACCGCTATTACCTTTCACCGACATCAATAGTTTGCATTCTTCTGCATTAAAATCATCGGGCGTAGAAAAGCATATAGACCATATTGACCGGTTTTCTGGGAATCGGTACTTGAACCGTCAGTTATGGGCCTCTGGGTTGGGAGGCCGTTTCGTCTTATATGTGGTTGTCGGCCTGTCGTGAAGGTGGACGCGGTACGCTCCTCCGAAACGCTGGTAAGTGTACACGGTTTCACAACCCGCAAGATTAAGAGCGACATTTTCACTGCTATAAGAATCTCAAAATAAAAAATGGCGTCCTTGCTTCAATTGTGTTTAGTAGCTGGGTATCCTAAACTTGCCAGTACGTTATGGGCCTATACCTTAAGACAGAGGTCCTGTTTTTCTTGTCTCTTTTAATTCGTTAATTCTCAAGGTACCTCGAATGGATGATCCATTTTTATGGGCCTTATCAGAAATATTAAAAATTTCATTCTGACTCCAAACTTTTATATCCAATTCAAATAATTATACTCTTTTTTATAATTTTTCAACGTACATGGCGAGAATTATTGCAAAGAGACGGACACTCGGTTATTATTTCGAATATTTATTCAGATTTTAGTGACTATTGTCGGCGGTTGGGAATAATAAATTAATTCAAATGTATCATTATTTTAATTAAATTGTTTATAATCCGGTACAGTAAAGGCCTATAATTTGCAATATTACAAGAGCATTAATCTGGAGGTAACAGTCGAACAATTATAGGTGACAGTGAAAGAGAATCACTAAATTTAAAGTCAGAGGTGAGTGGAACATTTGGGAGACTGAAATATTCTTCGTACTTTATTTAAATTTCTGCTTTTCCAGTGCCTATTCTTGTACTGAAAGTGGCTTTCGGTGTCAGTAAGCTAATAATATGTATGTGTCTACAAGAAATAAGTAACCTTATTCGAAAGG